ACTGTCTGCACTGTCTGTACCTGTGAATGGAGGCAGCTGACTGTCTGCACTGTCTGTACCTGTGAATGGAGGCAGCTGACTGTCTGCACTGTCTGTACCTGTGAATGGAGGCAGCTGACTGTCTGCACTGTCTGTACCTGTGAATGGAGGCTGCTGACTGTCTGCACTGTCTGTACCTGTGAATGGAGGCTGCTGACTGTCTGCACTGTCTGTACCTGTGAATGGAGGCTGCTGACTGTCTGCACTGTCTGTACCTGTGAATGGAGGCAGCTGACTGTCTGCACTGTCTGTACCTGTGAATGGAGGCAGCTGACTGTCTGCACTGTCTGTACCTGTGAATGGAGGCAGCTGACTGTCTGCACTGTCTGTACCTGTGAATGGAGGCAGCTGACTGTCTGCACTGTCTGTACCTGTGAATGGAGGCTGCTGACTGTCTGCACTGTCTGTACCTGTACCTGAATGGAGGCAGCTGACTGTCTGCACTGTCTGTACCTGTGAATGGAGGCAGCTGACTGTCTGCACTGTCTGTACCTGTGAATGGAGGCAGCTGACTGTCTGCACTGTCTGTACCTGTGAATGGAGGCTGCTGACTGTCTGCACTGTCTGTACCTGTGAATGGAGGCTAGCTGACTGTCTGCACTGTCTGTACCTGTGAATGGAGGCTGCTGACTGTCTGCACTGTCTGTACCTGTGAATGGAGGCTGCTGACTGTCTGCACTGTCTGTACCTGTGAATGGAGGCAGCTGACTGTCTGCACTGTCTGTACCTGTGAATGGAGGCTGCTGACTGTCTGCACTGTCTGTACCTGTGAATGGAGGCTGCTGACTGTCTGCACTGTCTGTACCTGTGAATGGAGGCTGCTGACTGTCTGCACTGTCTCTGTACCTGTGAATGGAGGCTGCTGACTGTCTGCACTGTCTGTACCTGTGAATGGAGGCTGCTGACTGTCTGCACTGTCTGTACCTGTGAATGGAGGCTGCTGACTGTCTGCACTGTCTGTACCTGTGAATGGAGGCAGCTGAGCTGACTGTCTGCACTGTCTGTACCTGTGTGAATGGAGGCTGCTGACTGTCTGCACTGTCTGTACCTGTGAATGGAGGCTGCTGACTGTCTGCACTGTCTGTACCTGTGTGAATGGAGGCAGCTGACTGTCTGCACTGTCTGTACCTGTGAATGGAGGCAGCTGACTGTCTGCACTGTCTGTACCTGTGAATGGAGGCTGCTGACTGTCTGCACTGTCTGTACCTGTGAATGGAGGCTGCTGACTGTCTGCACTGTCTGTACCTGTGAATGGAGGCTGCTGACTGTCTGCACTGTCTGTACCTGTGAATGGAGGCTGCTGACTGTCTGCACTGTCTGTACCTGTGAATGGAGGCAGCTGACTGTCTGCACTGTCTGTACCTGTGAATGGAGGCTGCTGACTGTCTGCACTGTCTGTACCTGTGAATGGAGGCAGCTGACTGTCTGCACTGTCTGTACCTGTGAATGGAGGCTGCTGACTGTCTGCACTGTCTGTACCTGTGAATGGAGGCAGCTGACTGTCTGCACTGTCTGTACCTGTGAATGGAGGCTGCTGACTGTCTGCACTGTCTGTCCCTGTCAATGGAGGCTGCTGACTGTCTGCACTGTCTGTACCTGTGAATGGAGGCAGTTGACTGTCTGCACTGTCTGTACCTGTGAATGGAGGCTGCTGACTGTCTGCACTGTCTGTACCTGTGAATGGAGGCTGCTGACTGTCTGCACTGTCTGTACCTGTGAATGGAGGCTGCTGACTGTCTGCACTGTCTGTACCTGTGGAATGGAGGCAGCTGACTGTCTGCACTGTCTGTACCTGTGAATGGAGGCAGCTGACTGTCTGCACTGTCTGTACCTGTGAATGGAGGCTGCTGACTGTCTGCACTGTCTGTACCTGTGAATGGAGGCTGCTGACTGTCTGCACTGTCTGTACCTGTGAATGGAGGCTGCTGACTGTCTGCACTGTCTGTACCTGTGAATGGAGGCAGCTGACTGTCTGCACTGTCTGTACCTGTGAATGGAGGCAGCTGACTGTCTGCACTGTCTGTACCTGTGAATGGAGGCAGCTGACTGTCTGCACTGTCTGTACCCTGTGAATGGAGGCAGCTGACTGTCTGCACTGTCTGTACCTGTGAGAGTGGAGGCAGCTGACTGTCTGCACTGTCTGTACCTGTGAATGGAGGCTGCTGACTGTCTGCACTGTCTGTACCTGTGAATGGAGGCAGCTGACTGTCTGCACTGTCTGTACCTGTGAATGGAGGCTGCTGACTGTCTGCACTGTCTGTACCTGTGAATGGAGGCTGCTGACTGTCTGCACTGTCTGTACCTGTGAATGGAGGCAGCTGACTGTCTGCACTGTCTGTACCTGTGAATGGAGGCTGCTGACTGTCTGCACTGTCTGTACCTGTGAATGGAGGCTGCTGACACTGATAACGATATTGAACATCGGACTCCTTGTGGTGAAGACGTTGTATATCCCTAGAATTATCTCCCTTGTTCAAAAATATTAACTTCCACCTTGCATTTAAAGATGTTGTGTTTCCTATTTGTATGTAATTTCCTCTCGTTATAAGGACACATGGGCATATGTAGTGTGTTGATACTTATATTTTCCTCTATGAACTTATGTTTCTTTGGAGAACATTATTTACGTGCGCAAAACTTAACAGAAGTGGGACGAATTTTGTTTCCTGTTTGCTATGAACGATAGTCATACCAATGATGCTTTGTTTAACGTAGATGTTTAACTGTTGTTTCTGGGAGGAACGCCTCCCTTGTTGTTAGAGCCGGCTGTTCGAAGGTGTGGAGTGACATTGTACATCTAAGAATATCTACAGCTCTGAAGATTACGAAAGAATTTGGTACCTAGGCATTTGTGCAGACATTGTGCATATTTTGCAGCCTGCATACACACGGCGGACCCCGAGTCACCCTGTAACTTCCTCACCCCTGATCAGGATCGCACTCATAGAAGACGGTGCCCAGAAAGACTGGCATGGGACGCCGCTGTCTGCTCGTGTAGTCCTAACGTGCCCGGGGCTGACTCTTGTTTGAAGGAACTACAACGTAGGTGGAGCGTTAGACTCATTCGTTTACACAACCACTCACTCACACAACCACTCACTCACGCAAATACACTCTCACTCAACCACTCACACAAACATTCAACCACTCACACAAACATTCAACCACTTACACAAACGCTCTCTCATTCAATTACACACTCAACCTCTCTATCCATTACTCAGTCAGCTACCAATCTGTGAATTAAGGAAAACAAACAATGGCCTCTCCATTCATGGAATATACATACCCTGTGTTTTATTAGCCGATGATACAACACTCCTGTCTTCAACCCCTAGCGGTCTACAAACATCTCTTCATTCAGTTCACTTATATGCCCCAAAATGGAGATTCAACTACAACGCCTCTGAGAGAAAGTCACTTGTTTTCTGTAAATCACGCCAATGTGTTAACATATGGAAACGAATGATTCTAGCAACAAGCTTTTATGGGTTTGAACTGCTACCAGCCATATACGGTATTGAGCTCGAAATGATTGAACGTACTCAGCGCTACTTTGCTCGACACAATACAAGGCCTGGGTAAGAGACATCCAACAGATTCGTCTACTTCAAACATAGGTAACTGGTCAATGACTGGTTACATAGACAAATGTAGATTACAACTATTAGGAAGGCTCTGCAATAATGATTGGAACTCAATAACGAAAGATATATTCTGTGCTTACATTACTACACATGTCCCTGGCATATACTAGTCGCCCGACAAGCATATGTAGTAACCTCCTACATACAGCTAAGAAATATTACTTAGACCTCTATATCAAGGAATTTATTTGCAGCGGTTCATTCCCAAGTAAGCTAGGCGATCTATTATAATCATACGTCTGTCGGAGTATGAACAAAACACCTGGAGAGAGAGACTAGCACAGAGACCGGATCTCTCACGATACTGTTAAATCCACACACGTTTACAAATGCACGTCGTTTATTATCTGATCCACCTCTATCCACATTTAAGACAACCCCTTCATCGCTGTCTCAACATCGGATCAAGAGCAAATGTATCCAAAGAATGTAATCACTGTAATCGACATTGCTATGACTATGACAGCCATATCATCCTACACTGTGTATTTTTTATGTCCGACAGAAATAATTTCTTCTCCTGCCTGATTGATACACTTGATAGTGGATATACATGTGAAAATAGATATGCTCGACGACGATGATATGCTGGCACTGTTTCTCGGTGCAGATATACATGACTTAACTGAAATAATTGACTATGATACATGGGAATACATAATACTTTCATTTTCTCACTTCGTTTGGAATCTAAAGAAACATCTGATGTACATCTAGTACACCTAGCCCTACTGCTCACAAATTGTACATTGTAAATTATCTATTAATGAGCAGTCTAACATATGCTTCCATTTTGTTACAAATGCTGTTCCATTTTGTTTAATTATGTGATGTATTGTAAATAACGTATTTGCCTTTGTATTATCTTCGGATTCAACTCTGGAGGAAATAAAGACATTCATTCATTCATTCATTCAACGTAGGTGGAGCGTTAGACTCATTCGTTTACACAACCACTCACACAACCACTCACTCACGCAAACAGTCACTCACGCGAACACACTCTCACTCAACCACTGACACAAACATTCAACCACTTACACAAACGCTCTCTCATTCAATTACATACTCAACCACTCTATATCCATTACTCAGTCAGCTGTCTATTCAACCGCGCATTCAACCACGAAATCAACAACTCAAACAATTACTCAATCAACTACTTACTCAACCACTCACTTAACATTTTACTGAACCACTCACTCAACCACCCACCCACTCACTCAACCACCCACCCACCCACTGAACCACCCGCTCAATCACCCAGCCAGTCGCCACTCTGTTCCAGAATGCAAGCTGGACTTTCTGGCTGACATGAATGACGGAGGTCGGTGGGGCTTCAGCGACCAGTCGGGCTCGTGGAAATACGTCGGGAATGTTGACGTGGTCTTCCTCGGTGGCTACGGCGTCTTCCGGAACTCCGCCTACCTCACCGTCTACCACTACCAGAACATCGACTGGCCCTACCCAGTGTGGGTGAGAGTGACATTCCAGTATTTCACGTCCACCAGCTCCAGACAAGTGCTCCTCAGTAACGGCTGCTACAACACCGACCCCGGCCAGGCCACGCTGTTCATGACGGTGGACCCAGCCGCCAGGACACTCAGTGCCGGCATCAAAACCAACTCCACCGACTACAACCTGTCTGTACGATGGAACTTTGTGGTGGGTTCGACATTTCGATATGTACTAGTACATAGGCACATAGTTACAACACGCTCTCAGTGCTTTTAACCCTCATCCATACAATATGATAAGATTTCTTATGAAGGTCGCCTATTCTGTCTATGAACCGTATTGTGTAATAAAACGTAACCTTTATCCTTTCAGACAAACAGCGCCACTTGGTTGGTGGCCACGGTGCGTTATGATGGCCAGAGCCTCGATCTGAATATCAGGGACAAAGATGTGCCGTCATCAAGCACGAGCCAAAGCCTTCAAGCGGAAGGTGGTGAGCATCCATTTTTGTTTATGAGTAATCCTGACTGAAACAAGTGATGTTGCTGTGTGTGTCCGCCGGTTGTTGCCATTGTACCTGAGAAGTAAAACATCTGACAGATCTGGAGATCAGCGGAGAAGAAATCACACCCGGCCACTTCCATCAAATCTGGGAACTCCCGGCGACTTCCGCTTATAGATGGCAACAAACGTCCCTGCAGACTAAGGGAGAGCGCATGTTTAGAGGACAGCAATTCTGCTACCTACATAAATCCTTGGACAGCAATAGATTTCCCTGTAAACCCTGTCATGTCCGTTTCAGGCTTTGACATATCATATTTATACAACAAAACCGGCATCCGCTAAATATACACACAAACGAAATAGAGTTCGCGACTTGTCCCAGATGATGTTATGTCGCGTGATAGTCGAGTCCACTGGTGTTACTTCCCACGTAGCCAATGCTGACTGAGGTACTGCTGGTCAGATAAACCCAGGAAATCGTCCTAACGCAGAGTGGGAGGGCGGGAGGTTGATAGCACAGCCGTGTGACAGAGTCGGGCGAACTAAAACATCCAAAAACATTCTTGGCAGCGTGCCAAACCATTTCGTGTTTCTTCACTTACACGTGGCGACCCATCAATGTCGAATGTTGAGTGTAGATACATTAAATATGCAATATGATAGGAGTTTTCACAACAACCGACTGTCGCTTCTAACACTTCATGCAATATATTGTTGCTATTGGTTCTCTAGAAATCAAGAGAAGCTCTTGTGCTTTGAGGATAGGCCGAGGCAGCAATGGGGAGACCATGTTTACAGGCAACATAGACGAGGTAAGCTGGACCGCAGACAAATGTGTGTACATTGACCTCATGGTGGTCATCTAAGTCATACATCGAGCTCATAGTGGTCATTTAGGTCATATATATCCAGTTGATAGCTGTAAAAATTCACATATACCTACCTCGTAGTTGTAATGTAAAGTCATGTTATATATATCGTAGTTGTAATTTAGGTGATACTTATCTCATTGTGGTAATCTACGTCATACATATCTCATAGTGGTAATCTAGGTCATATATATGTCATGGTGGTCATCTACGTCATATATATCTCATAGTGGTAATCTAGGTCATATATATCTCATAGTGGTAATCTAGGTCATATATATCTCATAGTGGTAATCTAGGTCATATATATCTCATAGTGGTAATCTAGGTCATATATATCTCATTGTGGTAATCTAGGTCATATATATCTCATTGTGGTAATCTAGGTCATATATATCTCATAGTGGTGGTAGGTCATATCTCATTGTGGTAATCTAGGTCATATATATCTCATAGTGGTAATCTAGGTCATATATATCTCATAGTGGTCATCTAGGTCATATATATCTCATATAGTGGTCATCTCATATATATCTCATAGTGGTAATCTAGGTCATATATATCTCATTGTGGTAATCTAGGTCATATATATCTCATAAGTGGTAATCTAGGTCATATATATCTCATAGTGGTAATCTAGGTCATATATATGTCTCATTGTGGTAATCTAGGTCATATATATCTCATAGTGGTAATCTAGGTCATATATATCTCATAGTGGTAATCTAGGTCATATATATGTCATTGTGGTAATCTAGGTCATATATATCTCATAGTGGTAATCTAGGTCATATATATCTCATAGTGGTAATCTAGGTCATATATATCTCATAGTGGTAATCTAGGTCATATATATCTCATAGTGGTAATCTAGGTCATATATATCTCATAGTGGTAATCTAGGTCATATATATCTCATAGTGGTAATCTAGGTCATATATATCTCATTGTGGTAATCTAGGTCATATATATCTCATTGTGGTAATCTAGGTCATATATATCTCATAGTGGTAATCTAGGTCATATATATGTCATTGTGGTAATCTAGGTCATATATATCTCATTGTGGTAATCTAGGTCATATATATCTCATAGTGGTAATCTAGGTCATACATATCTCATAGTGGTAATCTAGGTCATATATATCTCATAGTGGTAATCTAGGTCATACATATCTCATTGTGGTAATCTAGGTCATATTTATCTCATAGTGGTAATCTAGGTCATATATATCTCTTTGTGGTAATCTAGGTCATATTTATCTCATAATGGTAACAAAATTCATATGTCCCGAGTTCATGGTGGTATTATAAGTCACACGTCGAGCTGATACCGGTAATCTATAGTCATTTATACCGACGTCATTTTGGTAATATAAATTGATGTACACCGACCTGGCACCGAGTTGTACTAATGTCAACACACTGACTTATAAAACTACTGCTGGTGCTATATCAACCAGGCCGATATGTCAGTGCTGATAGTGCTGAAATTGTAATGTTGCTGATATATTTCTGTTGCTGCAGTATTATATGTACTGGGCTGTATTTGAGAGGTATCGTTGCATGCTTGCTCATTAATCTATAATTACTCCAAGATTCTGTCATCATGTCTGTAGGTGTCCATATACGCGACATGTCAGAATCCGCCGGCTGCTGATGTCTGAAGATGTCGCCCTGACGTCTCAGCGAGTGTCTACCCTAGTCCGGGCCATACACCCCGTTGAGAGGACCTGGTCAATGTCAACCTCATCTCGTTGTATTACACACGCTACTCCGTCATAAACCACAGCTTCTGCACTCTCTTCTAATCTGCTTCTTGTGTCACTGTGACTACTTACGAGCTTTAGACACGACTCCAACACAATTTCAACACAAACTTAATCTCAATATGTCCTCAACACAATTGCAACACAACTCAACCTCAACATAACCTCATGACCTGAACAAGGTATCTATGTTACAGTCAGATTGTGAAATCAGTCACTTCGTGAAATGACTAAACATTTCAGTCATTTCGTGAAATAACTAAGAGGGTCAGCTATTTAACTATCCCTACCGCTCGTTCTCTTTCTTACTGGGTCAACCTTGGCATTCTCTCTGTGTGACTTTATGTGCAGTGATATCGAAACGTCCAAACCTATTTATATAGCCAATAGCGAAATGGCTGATCCTCTTAGTCATTTCACGAAATGACTGATTTCACAACCCCTCTGTAACATATACATGACCTGAACATAACCGTAAATCAAGTGTCACGCTACGAGCTATTGAATGACATTTATCCATCGTATAAAATACAGTAAATGATGATCTGATAATATCAGAATATTATAAATGTTTGGCTAGGGGGTGTATTTTTAGCGGTTCAGAATGTGACGCGACAAAGACCGACGTGAACAGAACCTTCCTTTCATACCGGACATGAGGGTAGCGCGACAGTTACAGAGAGCAGCAAGTGCATGGTGATGGAGGACCCCTCAACTCTCTCCGCTGGAAGGTAATTTTGGATGATGTAATGAGGCGCGTTTTGCCTAAACAGGGTGGTTGAGGACGCTGCAACTTGTGTTGAACACAACTACTTGACCATTGCAATTCCTTGCCCAGTATTATATTCAGTACGTACCCCCTAAAAACAAACAAACAAACAAACAAACGAACAAAAAAAATAAAATAAATAAAAATAAAAAATCATTATGTCTTGACGGTTTCTAAAGGAAATGAAATGAAGGAAGTTTTCCAGTTTGGTCCGTTTTCCCCATCATAGTTCTATACTGAGCAAATTAACATTAGCGGTAGCGTTGAACAGAACGGGCACCCTGTTACTCTTTATTGTTACATACACTATCCAAGAGAATCAGTTGGCCAATATGGTAGCTCCTGAATGTCAAGGCGTGCAGTGACGGAGGATGACGATGCACGATGCTGGGGATTGAATGAACACAATGTCTGCTCATTATAACTGTTACAGGCGGGGAAATCCTCTTCTCAGACGTGCCAGTGTGCTTCGTCATTCATAGTATCAACCACTGGTACTCGCTTGGCAACTCGTCGCTGTGATATATACTACTCACAACAAGTTGGAGAGCACCAATACGCTGTCCGTTGGACTGACTGACTGAGTTTGGTTTTACGCCGCTTTTAGCAATATTCCAGCAATACCACGGCGGGGGACACCAGACATGGGCTTCACACATTGTACCCATGTGGGGATTCGAACCCGGGTCTTCGGCGTGACTGTCCGTTGGAACACTCACACCCATAGTCACATAAAAAGATAAGTCAGGAATCTTTAACTTATTGTGAGTGGTATATGTGTAATAGTGCTGATTACTGTATTAAACCTATTTACGCACTGCAACGGTTATGTTTAACACCACCACTCTACACACTATTTCAGTTATGTCACAGCATGGCAGCTTATTTGTCTTGCGCACATTTACGGTTCTAAAGAAAAAAATGGGCAGTTGGTAACAATTTAACAGCGGATCCTGTCAGAGCGAATCGACGTGATGAATACAGAAGCATAGTTCGACGCTTCAGTGGACTGGGCTCCCGCGCCAGACATGAGAAGTAACAGTAATAACGTAAGCCTGTTTCTCTGAGAAGCGTCACATAAATGACTGACCACGGTCCACTTACTTCAACACTGCGCTGTTGTGAAGCGGCTAAAATTAAGTTTCCATTAAAAAAAACACACAACTTGGTCATCACTTTCAAGAACATTTCTGAAATATTTTCAAATATGGAGGCACATAATCTTTTTTTGTCCGTGTGGGCATGTGCAGTAGATAATGCACATTAATCCACGTTAATCGTCTTCGCATACAAGCCCCGTGGCAGTTATACTACAAATGATAAGTTACCATATTGAAATTGGACTTCATGCTCAAGGCCATGATGAAATATATCCATGAGCATCAATCGTGCAATAACCAACTTTTACTTTTGATATGAGTACGTAAACATATGTTGGTGCATATGCTTTGAAAACCAAAATTACACGGATTAAAATGACAACTGTAACACATTTTACTCTGATTTCAACATGGTAACATATTACTGCAATCAGTGAAGAATATCAAAACGTGAACATCAACAATGTTGGAAAGTATGGTCACCGTGACTACCCCACAAATCTGTATTTTATACAATGGTTGTTCTGATTGTATGAACCACCACATGCGACCACACCAGTACCATGTGTAGCCATTCCTCTGACTTATAACATCTGCCAGTCTCCTCCTCATATTGCCTTTCAAGCATTGTATTATTAGCATCTGATTCCTTTGCCATCCCCGATACAGTGTATGCCTCAATTCTTCACTTTGAACAGGATAAGGCCCATATCGAACTTGCCATCTAACATTTTCCGAAAGATATTTATTCAAGGAGGTTTATATCGGGGCTCCTTGCGGGCCATGGTAATGCTTCGATGGAAGTGCTCTGAAAAGGGTAATGACGGTACGAGACGGACTAGCGTTGTTATCCATGAATATCTTACGACTGGTAAAGTTAACAAAATGTGGCCCAATGGCCGTATCCAATCCCAGGTTTTGTAATGAGATCCAACCTGGAGGCCTACGAAACACAACACCCACCATCACCGATGGGTTCAGCTGCACAGACCAACTCCTGATGATACTACTTCTCTATGCGTGACAACGTTTGCACCACGCCAGACGTTTCTGCCAGTTCCTATCTGTGAGGAAGAGATGTCTGATCGACGACGTACCATTATACGTCGCAGTCTCCTTCTGATGGTAATGATGGAGAGTCTAAGAGACTCCCCCTCCCCACTGCAGTTCTTCGGCATGGTTTATCATACTGATGTCTTGTCAGACGAATTTACACCCGACCATCATGGTCATTGGTGTTCCTCAGTCTACCAGGACTTGGACGACACTTTATCTCACCGGTGGCCATGTGGTTTCTGGAAGGCCACAAGATTCCTCTTAAGTGGACTAATGGCCATGTGGTTAATGTACAAATCAGCATCAATGTTGCGACAGGAGATCCCTGCATCATACAAGCCTATAGCTTGCCATCATGTATTTTCTGAAAGTCCGCAATCTTACTTTGTCAACAAATTAATTTTGCTACTGCCGTCTTATAGATCATTTCAGGAAACTGTAGCGGGACCGTCGGGACCATCGCATCATGTGAAAATGGGACGTATTTGAAAAGAGCAGTTTGAGACCTTTACAAAGGAAAATTTGTTGACAAACAAAGCCGAGTAATAGTATGTGAAAGGGGTAAAGAAGAGCTAGAAACAATGACGAGTGACGTAGAACTCTTATCAGAGTGTACATTAGGCGTCAGTCCAATTCCGATGATTCTGATCAGCATGAAAAGCAGACACCATCCCTATCAGAAAATGAATGCTTTCGCACTGATACAAAACGTGACATTTAACCAGAATATTTGGGTAATTATAATGTATAAACATTTCCCTGTAATTACTGGTGTTCCGATGATCGAAAACCAATCGAAAGGAGGATTAAAAATAATTACCCATTGTAAAACAACAAATTTTCGATTAATCGGAATTTTGTTGTTTTAGTATAACATACTTAAATGAAGTAAACCAACCATTAAATTTGACGAATCTTCACGAACAAACATGCTCTCAACAGCGTAAAGTAAAGTATCGTATTCATTACAAAATATTACTTATTTAGAATTCAAGACCCCACTCCCCCCTCTCATGACTGGAAGTTAAGATATCTGTCGATATTTCATAACACTGGCCTGATAGATAGTAATTAAGAATCAAATAACGAATTTTAGTATCTGTACAGTGTTGAATATTAATAAATCTCGCCATTAGTTTCATCATGTTTTGATGTGTTGGTGTGAAATGGTCAATGAGTGTTACCATCAGTGTCAGTCGATATTATTGCGAACTATAACACTATCTCTTGATATTTTCACTTCCAACATAAAAGCCTGTCAGCAGTGTGAATGTGTCAGACTATCTCAGTGTCAAATCATGGTTTGTTTGTGTATGCAGGCAAAAGCCATTAGCGGCAATATGAAGAGGAATATAGTAGAGTATAATCAGACTCAGGTTACTCCTATAATAATCAAGTAATGAAAGGATGACAGTAACCATTGTAAAATTGTAACCACTTTTATTGTTTCATTACAATTCCAGTGTCTTTTTTGCATGCGTGCATTTCATTGCATGACAGTATTAGTTATAAATAACATTAATTAGACAAAACCTGGGAAAAAACCCTTAAACTTGGTGATTACATTAAAAACTGAATATATACTCTTTAAAAAAAGAAACTTGACATAGGCCAAATTTGAATTTTAGGAAAATATTTGACACAAACCAATCCATGCTGAATCCCAGCATGTGGGGAATGGTTGCCGACGACAAAACGTTTAAAAAAAGAAACGTTTAACAAAAACGTAACGTTACACTCATGTCTGTAGTGAATCGCTAAAACGCACCCTACATGAAATGCACGAGCATCATGAAATTGTGTATCACCAAGCTGATGAAGCTTATGAAGATGTAGTAATTTAAATCATATTACCTGATAATCATCAGTGGTACATTTGGCCTACATGCATTGCTTTAAGCCACTATAGACAACAAGAGAATGAAAAGACTGAAAGAAGCTCAACGACACAACGCCATCGGCCGTTTACAAGGACGGACATCGAAGCATGATGTGGCAAGGCACTTCAGCCTGTTCAGACAGACGATCTCAAACATATGGACCCGATACAAAAATACTGGGGGTGTTAATGACAGACCCAGGTCAGGTCGACCTTGAGTTCCCACCGCCGC